CAGTACCTCTTCTAAAGTTTACAACTCTGTGTGTCACTAGTCACGCTGAGATTATGGCTACAGGTTTCCAAGTAGCCTTGTTTCAAGCAAGATGCTTTACAGAGCAGTTCTTACCCACCCAGCCTTCCCTGATGCATGACCAGCATAGCCAACAAGGCTGATGTAATAGCTCCCAAAGTACAAACACTTCTTTTACTGTTGTTAAATAGGCTCATGATTCACTGCTTAGGTGGTCAGCCTCTGACCTTTTACCACAGGACCCTTCCATTCAGCTCAGACCATTGCTCTGCGTGCTTTTGCCCTCCGTCCCTGACTTGTGCATTCCACTTTGGTGTCACATGCTAGGGTTTTATTGGCATCTTCAGGGGGCAGGGAAGCACCCCTTTAAGTGAACTAAGATACATCTGCAAAAACCGTCTAGCTGGCATGAAGACCAAATTGTTAGTGAACTCTTGATGAAGAAAAACAAAAACAAAACACAGCTGATGTATTTTAATTAAAACTTGCTGAATGTCTTATATCATTGCTGAACGATTTCCTATCATTTTCCTATGATAGGAAATCTATGACAAGATTATTTCGAGCAAACACAGGCATATCTATTCAAAGAAATGGCAAACTTCACCCCTTATCTGACTCTAAAGCTGAAAAATCTTCTGGTGACTCAACTTAAAATTTGTTGTATTGTACAGCAAAACTGAAGAACAGGGAGATACCATTAATGTTTGTAGCCCAGTCCAGCATGTGGAGAGGCTTATTGAGGTTTTTGATATCAAGCCAGGATCTTAAAGATCAAGGTTAGCTATCAAAGCTTCAAGTTAGTACCCTAACTAGTAACTTTTTTTTTAAAGTGTGGGGATGACAAAAATAGCAACTTCCACAATGGGAAAGGTATCTTATGTGCTTTTATAGATGTTTTAATCTATCATCAGTACATCAACAAAAAAGTAGACAACAAGCCGTCTAGAAAGTGGCTTACTCCTTTGCAACTCACTCTTTTGATTCCTGCAAAGGGTAGAGTATTGTTTTGACCAAGCAGTGGTCAATATCCCCTACAAAACCCATTTTGTAATCAGTCCATCTCCTTCCCACACACTCAGTAGTGCAATTCCCATGTTGTTGGAAAGCAAGGAAATCCATGGGGAGGCCTCCAGCTATTTCCCTGTGTCTGGGTACTTTGGAGCACATATCTGCAGTCATTTATGACGTTCCTCAGGACATCCCCGCTGATTACATCAGCCCCTACTACACTGCCATATAAAATCCTGATTATCTGCGTTGAACTGGATTATATGGCAGTGTAGACACATATAATCCAGTTCAAAGCAGATAAAGTGGATTATCTGCTTTGATAATCTGGATTATAGGGCAGTGTAGAAGGGGAAATTATTGAAGAATTGCTAACAAGGTGGATTTGGAGAGGAAAGCAGCAGCATGCTGCTTTGAACTGGATTATATGGCAGTGTGGGAAATTGCAATCAAAGCACTCCTGGCAGATGGCCATCCAGCCTATGCTTTAAAGCCTCCAAAGAAGAAGCCTCCACCACACTCTGGGGCAGAGAGTTCCACTGCTGAATGGCTCTCACAGTCAGGGAGTTCTTCCTAATGTTCAGATGGAATCTCCTTTCTTGTAGTTTGAAGCCATTGTTCCGGATCCTGGTCTCCAGGGCAGTGTAGACACATATAATCCAGTTTAAAGCAGATAATGCGAATTATCTGCTTTGATAATCTGGAGTATAGGACAGTGTAGAAGGGTCCATCCTTGAAGCAATGCTAACAATGTAGATTTGGAGGGGGAAGCCACGGCATGATGCATGTATATCTCCCAGTGCAGGATCTTGACCATTATTTCACTAGATGTAATCACAACCATGAATCTGGGCATGGCCATGAATGTGGGCAGAACGTTAGACATGTGAATGGAAGGCAAACCTATCAGTGTGCTCACTATTAATTATGACAGCAATGTACTACCTCCCATACCAGATGCAGCAGGAGAACACTGAGAGAAATGCAATATTTCCTCCACATCCTCCTTGTGGCTTTCCTTGGGGCATCCGTTTGGCCACATGATGTGGCATTACATGAGCCTTTGGCCTGAATCCATTAACATTTTGTTTGTCTTATTTGCTAGGGTTCAAATCCCACTGGTGACCTGGGCAAGTCACACTCTCAGCTTCAGAGGAAGGCAATGGCAAACTTCTTTTGAACAAATCTTGCCAAGAAAACCTTCTGATAGGGTCACCTCAGGGTCTCCATAAGTCAGAAACCACTTGAAGCCACAAAGGAACAATGACGTATCCGCAATGAGTGTGTGGTGGGGGAGGAGATGGCAAGGCAAAGTCAGATAGAAGTCATTGCTACAGTGTCTGTTATGTATTAGCCTTAACCGGAGCAGGCTTAAGCTGCCCCTCACTGCAGGCTTTCCGGCCAGCCATCTGTTTTGGATGCAAAGGGCAGGAGGGCTGGGCTAGCCGGCTTAAAGACCCCTTTTCAGCTCTGAAATCCAATGCCAAATACATTTCCATCTACATGAGCATACACAATATATGACTCTCCACAGGACCTTAAGTCCAGAGGATGGGAATGGAAATCCAGTCTAAATGTACTTTTCTCTTCTTCTTAGCCATCCAGTCCCAAATGCGACCCAGAATCCAAATAACGGACACCAGGAAAGTGATTAAATATACAATGAGCTCTTGGTATCTGAAGACATTTAGTTTCTGGACATCAGTGGATATTAAAATCCATGAAGTCCAGTTATAGACAATGGCATAATAAAATGTTGTCTCTTACAAAAAAAATGGCAAAATCAAGGTTTGCTTTTTGGAATAGAAAGGGATGGATATGTATGTATATGTGTGTGTGTGTGTAAACACACACTAGCCGTCCCCTGCCACACATTGCTGTGGCCCAGTCTGTGTATATGTGTTTTGTGTGTGTATATATTTGTGTATATATGTATGTTTGCATATACATAAGTGGTTTTGCGCAAGCGTTGTATTTTTTGTTTTGGTTTTTTGGCTTTTAAGTTCCTTCTGCTGTGTTTTTCAGTGTTTTTATGAGTGTTGGTCACTCGTTGGCCTGATTGGTGTATTGTGTCCAAATTTGGTGTCAATTCATCCAGTGGTTTTTGAGTTATGTTAATGCCATAAATGAACATTACATTTTTATTTATATAGCTATATAAAAGCTATGGATGCAGAATCTGGCATATAAATAAATAAATAAATATGGGATCTATGGTGTGTGTGTGTGCGCATGCTGCGGATGCTGCAAGTCAGGGTTGGTTGCACTCCAAGTGGCCAGCTACTGGTCAAAGGACATTTAATATAATGCCAAATTTCTAAACTTTGTTTTTTTAAAATACTTAGTTTACTCCAAGTATTAAAAGTAATATACACATAGATTCCACACACACATATTATGTATGTATGTGTGTGTGTAATATAGCTATGGATGCAGAATCTGTGCATATGGAGGGCCGACTGTACCAGAAAGACAGGGAGGCAAATGGAACTGCTGCTGTAGTCAACCACGACCACAAGTGTATATTATGTACTCCACCTACTCCACTTAATTCTCAACACTGTAGATTTAATGCAGTTTGACATTATTTTGACTGGCATGGTTCAATGCTATGGAATCATGGGAGGTTTTTTTAGATTCTTTACCCTTCTCTGTCCAAAAGTGCTGATTTTTATTTATTTATTTCAAACGCTTTTACCCCGCCCTTCTCAACCCCTGGGGGGACTTGTGGCGGCTTCCAATTGGCAACAATTCGATGCCGCATAATAAAATACAAAACACCAATAATTATAATAGCTGAAAGCATAAAAACATCAAACATAAACATTAAAACAATATACTTACAGTCCACTGAGCTATTACCAGTCTGGTGGCCATTTATCTAGCCGTATACTATGATTGAGTACTCTGTTTAACTTATCCATAATCAATTTCCAAGCCATTGTCAACATTGTTAATGGTAATTTCCAACTAATTGCCGGAAGGTCTGGTCCCACATCCAAGTTTTTGCCTTCTTTCTAAAGGTGAGGAGGGATGCCGATGACCTAATTTCCCCGGGGAGTGAATTCCACAGGCGGGGGACCACCACCGAGAAGGCCCTGTCTGTCATCCCTGGCAAATGTGTTTGAGTTAGAGGCAGGGCTGAGAGCAGAGCCTTCCCAGAAGATCTTAAACTCCAAGGTGGGACGTAGAGGGATTTACGTTTGGACAGGTATGCTGGACCAGAGCCATATAGGGTTGGGGGTGGTATGTTCCCTGAATGACGCTCCAGTGAGTAATCTAGCTGCCTCCCGTTGGACTAATTGCAGTTTCCGAACAGGCTTCAAAGGCAACCACACGTAGCGTGTGTTGCAGTAATCTATTCAGGATGTGACTAAACTAAAACTCTCAGGATTTCCTAGGTTCTCAACCTGGGGTCCCCAGATGTTTTTGGCCTTCAACTCCCAGAAATCCTAACAGCTGGTACACTGCCTGGGATTTCTGGGAGTTGTAGGCCAAAAACATCTGGGGACCCCAGGTTGAGAACTACTGATGGCCAAACTCCGGGTGTTTTGGACTTCAACTCCCATAATTCCTAACAGCCTTAGGAATTGTGGGAGTTGAAGTCCAAAACACCTGGAGGGCTCAAGCTTGCCCATTCCTGGTGTAGATGCACCCACTGGCACAAAAATGCCCAGCAACAGGTTACCAACCAGGCTGATGCCTCCACAAGGCCCGAGACTTCTCGAATGGCTCTCCTTGGATTTGACTGACACTTTTGCCTCTTCTCCATGTAGGATTGGCGACCCCCTGAATAAACCAGCAGCATCTTTCGCCTTCCTGCCTGGGCAGTACCTGCTACCTCGATATTAGCATAATAAGCCACGCCCCGGGAGACGGAGCCGTCCAATGAGCAGTCGCGATTGGAGAGGAGGGGCGGGGAAGGTGGTGGTGGCGGCGGCGGCGGCGGGGCTGGGGAGTGGTTGGGCGCGCGGGCGGGTCGAGCACTCCGCAGTAGTGACTCTGAGAGCAAGAGAGAGGGAACTAGAGCGCGCGAGCTTTGGAGGGATGCGGCTCCTCGCGCCCCCTGAGGACTCGGAGCCGCCGAGGGCCCCCTCGCGCGCGCAGTAAGAGCTGCTCCTCCGAACCCCTTCGGGCGTCACTCGGGTAAGCCCTGAAGCGAACTCGGCTGAGGCGCGCGCTCGCTCGCTCGCGTGAGGGATTGAAGGAGGGGCGGGGCAGGAGGGGGGAATGGGTTGAGGAGCGCCGCCGTCGCCTCTCTCTCTCTATTTCTATCTCTATTTCTCTCTTTCTTTCTCTGTGTCAGCCCCTCAAAACCAGTCCCACTTCTCCTCCTTTCCTCGGGCAAAACCTCAAGCGAAGGCCTCTAAAGGGAGCGCGCACGCTCGCCCTCCTCCTCCTCCCTCAGGAGAGGCTCCCAAAACGTGACACACACACACGCACGCCCTTCTTCTGAGTTGCAGGCCTCGCTTTCTACTCCCAGGCTCTTTGCCTAACCACCCCATATTTCAGTATTTTCCCAAACTTTTTACAACTTCGGCTTAACCATTGGCCAAGGCAGCTGAGGCTTCTTGAGGTGAAAACATCTGGAGGGCGAGGGACTGGGAATCAGTGCTTTGGGTGAACTTTCTTCCTCCTGAGGGGAAAGAGCGCGAGGGAGTGAGTTGCTACACTTCCTTTTTTTCTCCCTTCCAGGCATGTAGCCCGGGGGGGGGGTGCTTGAGGGGCTTCAGCCCCCCCCCCCGAAATTCTCATGGTGGTTCGCGAAAAGGCCTTACTGGTGCATTTTTAAAACTGTTATGTTTATTCATATCATGATCTGATCACCATACTCAATATATCCCATATGCATGGGGGTATTGGGGTAATGATACAAAAGGTTTGCTAGGCTAGACCCTCTTTCACTCAGACTCGGCCCCCCCCCCCCCCTCACCCGACCCACCACCACCACCACAAATCGAAATCCTGGCTACGGTCCTGCTCCCTTCCCTCAATGTTTTGGGTTGAGTGGCTCCCTTTCCCTTCTGCTCTGGTTTCCTCTGGCGTCTCCTTTTGGTTGGATTTAAATCCTGGGCATGAACAGCCGCGAGGAGAAAGAGGAGGAGGACGTGCGATTTGGCAGCTGGAAGGAAGGAAGGGAAGGGGCCCCTGGCAGGCCTCGCCTTGGTGGGCTCAGAGGGTGAACCAGGAATGCCAGATATTCCTTTGAGCTCCAGGGCACCTCCCTCCCTCAAATCACGATTGTCTCTCTCTCATATATATATATATATATATATACATATATATACATACACATACACACACACACACAGACAGACAGACACACACTAGCCGTCCCCAGCCACATCTTGCTGTGGCTCACATGGGGGTTCTGTGTGGGAGGTTTGGCCCAATTCTATCATTGGTGGGGTTCAGAATGCTCTGTGATTGTAGGTGAACTATAAATCCCAGCAACTACAACTCCCAAATGTCAAGATTCTATTTTCCCCAAACTCCACCAGTGTTCACATTTGGGCATATTGAGTATTCGTGTAGAGTTTGGTCCAGATCCATCATTGTTTGAGTCCACAATGATCTCTGGATGTAGGTGAACTACAACTCCAAAATCAAGGTCAATGCCCACCAAACCCTTCCAGTATTTTCTGTTGGTCATGGGAGTCCTGTGTGCCAAGTTTGGTTCAATTCCATCATTGGTTGAGTTCAGAATGCTCTTTGATTGTAGGTGAACTATAAATCCCAGCAGCTACAACTCCCAAATGACAAAATCAATGTTTTTTGAGTGAAGGACATAGATTGGGTTTTTAGGTGTCTTGTGTCCAAATTTGGTGTCAATTCGTCCAGTGGTTTTCGAGTTATGTTAATCCCACAAACGAACATTACATTTATATATACACACACACACACACTGTACACATTAAAAAACCTGGAAACAGTTTGAGGACCAGATGGTGACCACACAAATCGCTGATACATTCTTTTGCAAGCTTTTGCTGAAGTTTGTCTGATCACTAGCTTCAAACAGCATTCAATGGCCGGTGTAGATGGGGATTTTTTTTTTCAAAATAACTCCGGATATGGTTACACACTGACTATTCTAAAGCCTTTGACTGTGTGGATTCTAAAGCCTTTGACTGTGTGGATCATAATAAATTGTGGCAAGTTCTTAGTGGGATGGGCATCCCAAGCCACCTTGTCTCTCTCCTGAGGAATCTGTACAAGGACCAAGTAGCAACAGTAAGAACTGACCACGGAACAACAGACTGGTTCAAGATTGGGAAGGCGTACAGCAAGGCTGCATCCTCTCACCCAACCTTTTTAACGTGTATGCAGAACACATCATGCGATGTGCGGGGCTTGATGAATGCAAGGCTGGGGTGAAAATTGCTGGAAGAAACATTAACAACCTTAGATATGCAGATACCACTTTGATGGCCAAAAGCGAGGAGGAGCTGAGGAGCCTTCTAATCAAGGTGAAAGAAGAAAGCGCAAAAGCCGGGTTGCAGCTAAACATCAAAAAAACCAAGATTATGGCAACAAGAATGATTGACAACTGGGAAATAGAGGGAGAAAATGTGGAGGCCGTGACAGACTTTGTATTTCTAGGTGCAAAGATTACTGCAGATGCAGACTGTAGCCAGGAAATCAGAAGACGCTTACTTCTTGGGAGGAGAGCAATGTCCAGTCTCGATAAAATAGTACAGAGTAGAGACATCAGACTGGCAACAAAGATCCGCCTAGTCAAAGCCATGGTATTCCCTGTAGTAACCTACGGATGTGAGAGCTGGACCTTAGGGAAGGCTGAGCGAAGGAGACGCTTTTGAACTGTGGTGCTGGAGGGAAGTTCTGAGAGTCACTTGGACTGCTAGAAGATCAAATCAGTCCATACTCCAGGAAAGAAAGCCCGACTGCTCACTGGAGGGAAGGATAAAAAATGAAGTACTTTGGCCACATCATGAGAAGAAAGGAAAGCTTAGAGAAGACAATTATGCTGGGGGAAATGGAAGGAAAAAGGAAGAGGGGCTGACCAAGGGCAAGATGGATGGATGGCATCCTTGAAGTGACTGGACTTGACCTTGAAGGAGCTGGGGGGTGGCCACAGCCAACAGGGAGCTCTGGCATGGGCTTGTCCATGAGGTCACGAAAAGTTGGAAGTGACTAAACAAATAACAACAACAAAGGACATCAGAGCATGAGCAGTGCCCCACCAAATCAGAACAAAACCCTACATGTATTATTATTATGCTTATTATAATAAGCTTATTATGCTTATTATGTTTTAATGTTTAACTTATGGTATGTTTTAAGGCACCATGGAGGTGTGATTGTAAGCTGTTCTGAATGCCTCCACAGAGGTAGAGAAGAACGGAATATAAAAGTTCCAAATAAATAAATAAATAAATGTTTTAATGTTTTACCATCCTTGTGGGAGGCTTCTCTCATGTCCCCACATGGGGAGCTGGAGCTGACAGAGGGAGCTCATCTGCACTCTCCCCGGATTCAAACCGGCAAGCCAACCTTCAAGTCAGCGTCCTGCCGGCACAAGGGTTTAACCCTTTGCACCGCCAGGGGCTCCAGAAAATCCCATGATAGGTAGACGGATGTTAGACATGACCTGAAGGCACACCACAGTAGTGGTTATGGGAGTTAAGCAGCTTCTGAATGGATATGCAAAGAAATCAATTCAGTATTAATTAGAGTGTGGGGTTGAGGGGAACAGGGAGGGTTTTTCTGTAAAGGGAAGTTTGTTTGTTTGTTGATGTTGTTAGGAAATACACAGAAAACCTGCCTACAGATTGTATTCTTGTCTGAACAAGCATATGAAAGGGATCCAAGAGTGTTTCTAGAATATTTTATACTGGTAAAAACTTTTCTTTCTTTCTCTCAAACATGGAAATAATAATCAAAAGTTGCAAATAGTGCTCTAGACTGATTCTGCAGGATGTTTGTGGAAAGTCTTTTAGAAGTTTCTTCCAGGGCCATATCTATCTACCACAAGTCTGTTTATATCAAAACTAAATGTTGTCACTTTAATTCTGTGGGTGAAACTAAATTTCGTTAGCATGCATGAGAAGCCAAGATAAGCAGATTCCGACTGCAACCTGTCAAGGCATTGAGATTAAAAATGCACCTCTGTGTTTAGCAAGTCTTGCTTGTCTCACTAGTAGTCCTTATACTTTAGAAAAAAAGAAATATCAAAGTAGAAGGGTAATGATTACAGATTTCTTGCTTTAGACATGGAAATCTGAGAAGAGTGCACAAACATTTTGCATAACACGGTTGAAAGAAAACATTTCTGAGATGATCTTCCCATAGGGTTCAGTGAACTAGGATCCTTGTTTATACTGCTTGTTTTCATACTTTGTGAACACTTTGCAGTACGCAGTTTTATTCATACTGCTTTTAGACAAAGATTAAAGTCTTTACATTAAAATGCTGAGTGGAAACATTCCATTATCTGGAACATTTTTTATTTTGAGTTGAAGCACGTGCACACATATTAGCTGTAAAAGATTCAGAAATTAGACTTAATGCAAATGATTGGTTGAGCCCTCTTTCTCCAGAACACTTAGAAAGATACACAGCACTCCCCTCTCTCCCCCCAGACACAAGAGTATTACTCAGTTGATACAACTTTAGAGAACTGATGTATTGCAGCATAATTTGATCTAGCTTACTATTATTTACCAGTTGGTAAGACAAGCTGAGCACTCCCTTCAAAGACAAATCTGGTTGATTTATCTATATATATTTCTGGAATCAAAATAATAATAATAAAATAATAAATACTTTTGTTATCTTAAGTGCTCTAGCAAAAAATTCAATTGACTTGATAGTGACATAAGACACCAATTATTTGAAACATGTATAAAAATACTTCAAGAGATAGGTTCAAAGGTCTAGATGTTTATCTTGTTTATTGTATTTTACAAATTTAGCTTTTTGTGTTTTGTGTGTTAAACTGCGATTCTAGATCAGGCATGGGCAAACTTCAACCCTCCGGGTGTTTTGAACTTCAGCACCCAGAAATCCCAGCCATCTTACCTGCTGTTAGAAATTGTGGGAGTTGAAGTCCAACACAACTGGACTTCAACTCCCAGGCCTTATCTAGATAATTTCCCATTCAGCCATGAAACCCCCCTGGGTAACTTTGGGTGGGTCATACTCCCTCAGCCCCAGAAAAAACTAGGACCAGGTTTCTGTAAATCAGAAATGCCTTTAAGACACACCACAATGCCTGCTAAACATACCATGTCTGGGGCATGTATATTTCTCCTTTTCATATTTTATGGAAGCATGAGCCCAAACTCTGCAGTGTTTTCCTTTAGTACATTCCTAATCAACAAGAAGTGTGTGCTTCAGGTGTAATCAGTTTTAGCAGGTGCACAATATGTATTTCTAATGCATACCTCTTACAGGTGTAGCAAATGAAATGATGCTTAGAAGGCAATTTCCTCTCACTGACATTGACTTGTGATTGAATGTTTTGAAATGTGTGCAGTACTTTGTTAGTAAGTATGTACTGTATGCAAATTTTTAATTCTAATACAAGCTTTCCTCCTTGAAAAGGTCCGAAATTAACCACCTTTGTGCATTGGTTGCAGATATTCAAAATGATATGACAAGGCTATAACTTCTCAGAGTAACATAAAGAAATGGAATTTTGTAAGATATTCTAGTGCAAGCACGGGCAAACTTCGGCTCTCTGTGGGTTTTAGGTCTCAAATCCCATAATTCCTACCAATCGGTAGACTGTTACAAATTGTGGGAGTTGAAGTCCAAAACATTTGGAGGGCCGATGTTTGCCCATGCCTGCACTAGTAATAGCTGAAATGGCTCCTCCCGCCCAGATGAACTATTCTGATCATCCCAATAAATAAATAAGATCAAAATTCATCATTTACATAATGTTTAAGATCTATGCTTTCTTGTTTTCTCCCCCCACCTGACTGTTTGTTTTTCTCTCCTCAGGTATCTTTTGCTTGGCAGATGGATCCTAAGGAACACTGAACGTTAACTGTGGAAAATTTATAAGCTCTGCAGTGGCTGGGATGTTGCGACAGAACGGTGGCGGAAACAAGCGTGGTTTAGGATTAACCAAACTGTCTACCTCCAATTTCTTCACCATCTCTAATTCAGGAAGCTGGGGGATGGGGCGCAGCACCAAAAGCAGTTCGCTGAGCAGCATTAGCTCCAACTCTGACTGCTATGATAGCACTGTTGTGGATCCAGAATACATCATGCAGTTGGTGACTGATGTCAGAAAATTTGCAGATGTTCTACTTTATTTGAAAGAAGCCATTCTTTCTGAAGGTGAGTCTGTTGTTTCTTGTTAACCCCTCTGCTTTGAAATGTACACTTGTAGTAAATTTCTTTGTAAAGTAAGGACTGAGAAATGCTTAGTAGGAACTGTGGCAATTTTTTGTTGGTGTATAAAGGAAGCTGTGGTTTTGTTCTTCATTAACTTCCTCTATTCAATGCATTTAGAACTAAAACTTGATAGTTAGAACTTCTTGAGTAAATAAGTCAAAGAATATATTTGAAATGCATTATGGTAGATTTTTACTGATTTACAGTAACTCATGCTTCTGTAGCTCAATAATTTTTCCTATATAAATAGGTTTTCCCTTTTATCTCAGTTCTGACTGATTAGTTGGATTAGTGTTAATTGAATCAAACTTTTATATGTATTTCTTTTCTTTCTTTCTTTCTTTCTTTCTTTCTGGCCACTTAGTACCAGCATCTGGAAGTAACATTTGTTTGTTGTTAATAGCAGTGATTTTTTTTTGCTACATGGAGCTTTGTTTTTCTCCTTTGTTAAACAGCAAATAAAGGTTTCTCACATCTGAACTAAATATTTTTGATTTAGCATTATATCCAGCACCGAACTAATTAGAAATAATACTCAACAGAGTATAGCATTACAATAATTGATCACAGAGTGGCCTGGAACCATATACTTGTGAACACTACTCATTTAGTAGGATTTTGGAAGATTTTGCAAATGCTTTAAATAAGTTTTTTATTGTCTGCATCTGATAAACTCTGATTAATCTTAATTACGCCTGGTGGGAATAGCTGGGAATTGTGATTTGTTAATCTGTGTTATTTTTACATAGTTAAAGCTAAAGCATAAACAACAAGCAAACACTTAGGGTTGTGGTGTCATGTTAAACTCTAGCTAAAGCATACACAACAACTTCAGTTCTAGCTGCATTCTATGCTGAAAAGAGAGGGGAAATGTGAATTGAAGAGCTGTTGCAGCTTTTTAGTTATATTCAGACAAGTTAATAAACAAGATTTATCTGTGCTTTTGAAAGAGAGAAAGAATTTATCACCAGTTACTTTTATCTATTCTATGAGCAAGTTGGATCATGTTTTTTTTTTGCATGAGATGAAAAATACTATGATTAATTCTTAAAGTGCAATTTTAGCAGAGCTTCCTTAAACACCCGTTTCTAATGGAAATTTAGCATTGTTTTCCCCTAGTAAAAGCCTGAGAGATTCTATACTTTTTCATATCAAAAAACTGATCAGTAAAACAAGTGAAAATGGTTTAAGATTTGAGGGAAATGTATGTCACATTTGATATATTTCAGTTGTTGAAGTTTTTGGGTAAGAATATTGGTTTATTTTATTCCTTTCAAAATAATCTTAATTCTTTGGAGAAAGTCTTAGTTACTTAACAAAATATATTCAGTGTTGTTTATGACTGATGGCAGTCCTATAACATGGGGTTTTGTTTTTTTTGCAAGATTTGTTGATGGGGTTGCCTTTTCCTTCCTTATAGGCTGAGAGAGTGTGACTTTTCAAGGTCACCTGGTGGGTTTTCATGGTTTGTTTGATTTTTTGCAATTTTTCCAGAAAATTGGGACTGTAGAAATTTGGGGCTGTTAAGCTATTGCCTTAACATTTCTTATTTGGCCTTAGGATCATATCTTCTTCTTTCCTCTTGGGGCCCTTCCAGACAGGCCCTATATCCCAGGATCTGATCCCTGGTTTTCTGCTTTAAACTGATTTATATGTGTCCTCACTGCATATAATCTGGGAGAAACAGAAAGCCTGGGATCAGATCCTGGGATATAGGGCCTATCTGGAAGGGACCTTGTATGGCCACAAGGAAGAATTCGGAAGTAGTACCGGTACTTCTGTTCTTGTTTCACCATGGTATGTTACATTACCCAAATTGATAAACTTTTATACATATGGTCTGTCCGAAACTATGATTTTGAATTGTAATGTTTTAAATGAGATAATTGCAGTTTCTTTGTTTGGCGGATAATGTAAGCTATGATTAAGCAAAACTGGAAGTGAATGTTTCAGTATTTACTGTAGCACAGGTGCTACATCTTTTCATTGTGCAAAACTGTTTTTATATAGACTCACACAGTTTACTGGTTCTTTTCAGATTTTTGGAATACAGGAACTCCCCAGGTAACAAACAAGATAGGATCTATAGGTTTTTTAAAAGTTTAATTTGTATTTAAGTCAGAACAGGTACAATTTTTCATGCACACACACTAGTTTAGGTACCCATTGATGCCAGGGTTAGGTAATTTGTGATGCTTTTCATTAGAAAAAGTCAGCTGTTTGTAATGCACCCATTAGAAAATGCATACGGATGTTGGTGAATTACAATTCCCAACATCTTAATTCCCCGCAGACTCGACCAGTATTCAAAGTTGGCCATGTTTGGTATGCATGCCAAGTTTGGTCTATTGTCGGTTGAGTTCATAGGGCCCTCTGGATGTGGGTGAACTACAGTTCTCAAAATCATGGGTTAATCCTCCTCAAACCCTGCTAGTTTTCAAATCTGGTCATGTTGGATCTGTATGCCAGGTTGGATCCAGACCCATCATCAGTTGGGGGTCACAGTGCTCTCTGAGTGTAGGTGAACTACAACTCACAGAATTCAAGGTCATCCCCCCACGCACACAAAAACACACTAGTATTCAAAGTTGGTCATGTTGAGTCTGTGTGCCACGTTTGGCCTGGTCTATCGTTGGCTGGGTTCAGAGTGGTCTCTGTATGTTGGTGAACTCTTAACACTCAGAATCTAGGCTCCATCCTCTCCAAACACCTTTGTTCTGTTGGTCATAGGGGGTCTGTGTGCCAGCTTTGGTCCAGATCCATTGTTGGCGGGGGTTGCAGTGCCATTTGGACCATCTTGAAAAATACATTCATACACACAAACATACATACACTGACTTTTATTATATCAATATAGATATAGATATCTTTGACTAGCATAAGGAAGGGTTACCACCCCTGTGGAGTTTGTAGATTTCACCTCACATTGGTGATGGATCTCATTACATTTGCTGCTGGAATTGCCATGCATCATGGCAAATCCAGCAGTCCCTGGTGGGGGAACTCGTCACCCCACACCCCAAATCGTCCAGCTTCCCCCTTACCTCATCCTATGAGGGGAAACATGTTGTATGCAACACGTGAAGCCTCCTGTGTTGTCGCTATGGTGGCATATGCCAGTTCCCTTTCCCTTTTATCATGGAGTCCCTCGGGAAGTAGCTGTGCATTATGGGATAGAAGCTGGCAGGCCAAAGGGAAAGGCAACTGATGCATGCCGCTGAATTCAGTTCCATCTGATAAGGTCACTTCTGCCCTCTGATAGTTGGATTTTGAAAAATTTGTCGTGGAAACAAGGATTGTTGTGAAAACTTCAGTGGAGGCACCTTCTCCTCATGATAACCCTTTCTGGAGTGAATGTCCCTTCAAGGGGATAGATTTCTCTCACTTCCTGTTGTCTCACCCCGTTCTTAATTATGAGTCGTTTATAAGTTGGATGTTTGTAACTCAGGAACCTCCTGTACTACTATTAGATTAAAGTAGGATGGTCCCAATTGAAGGAGGAGCAATAGGAATGAATAGCTGGTTTCTTGTCAGTTGGTTTCTGACTTGTCAGTTTTATATATGCAGTATTATTTTCGGCATTAAAATTTGTTTTACCATTTTAATGCTGCAAAAAATGCATTTGAACTTTATAAACTTTCTTTAAAATGTGCATGCTTGCATATGTGTTATAAAAATAGATGAATTTTCAAATTGATACATTAATTGTGTTATTAGTTGAGGGAAATTAAGTAGCTTTAGCTTTAATAGTCATGCTATCTTGTGACATCAAATCATATAACCTTAAAATGCATTCTGTGTAAATATGATTTTTTTTGGCAGCATTGCTTTGACCATGCCTGCTTATATTGTAAAAAAACTTATAAGAACATAAATACTAAGGTCAAAATAATACTGAATATGGCAACGGAAATTCATCACAAAATGGAAAAGTATAAGATAAACAAAAATTAGATTAGAAGAATGTATTTTTTATGGGTTTATAAGTACCAGTATTACTTGAAACTAGCTAAATGACTTTAGCAATTATTTATCTGCTGTGTTTTTGTTAGAGGAAGCTTTGAACCATGTTTGTTAACAATGTTATGATGCAAATTTAGGCTAAGTGAGTGAGGGAAAAAGAGAAACTACTTAAGGCCGCCTAATTAAATTAATATCCTAATAGCATTTTAACACTAATTCCGCACAACCAAGTTTATGCTTTGATCAGTGTGTGTCACTGGTGCTTAATATAATGCACATTTAATAAATGAGCCAAACAATTATTTGTGGTGGAAGACTATTCATTTCCGAGCATAATTCAAGGTGCTGGTTATAACCTATAAAACCCTATATAGTCCAGACTATGTGAAGGTGTATATCACTTTGAGCTTTAAGATGTCAGAGGAAGTTTGCTCTGGTGAACCTATCGTCACAAAATTACCTAGCAAAGACACAGGAGAGAGCCTTCTTGGTGGTTACTCCCAGCTAGGAGCTAGGCTACAACTCTCTGCTCTCTCTGCCAACAGGTAGAACTTCCTATTTAAAGAGCACTTGGGAGTTACGATTTGCAGAATAGTGTTTTTAATTGTTTGTATATGACAGGGGTCCTCAAACTTTTTAAACAGAGGGCCAGGTCACAGTCCCTCAAACTGTTGGAGGGCTGGATTATAATTTGAAAAATAAAACACGAATGAATTCCTATGTACACTGCACATATCTCATTTGTAGTGCAAAACCCACTTTAAAACAATACAATAATTAAAATGAAGAACAATTTTAACAAATATCAAATTATTAGTATTTCAATGGGAAGTGTGGGACTACTTTTGGGTGATGAGATAGGATTTTTGTTGTTGTGTGCTTTCAAGTTGTTTCATACTTAAGTTGATCCTGAGCAAGGGCCGGGTAAATGACCCTGGAGGGCCGCATCCAGCCCCCGGGCCTTAGTTTGAGGACCGCTG